CCCAGGAGTGGAGGAACATTTTCCCCACTTTACTTCTTCCTTCCCCAATTGTAGACCTTCATTTGTGTCATCAGAATAAAAGAGTTTGCTATTCATTCCCAGTGGCTCAGAACTTTTGTTCCTGAGAGGAAAAAGGCACAGGTAGAACTATATATTTTCCATACATCTGTAGCCACTCCACTCCTCCTGGCCAAAACTTCCAATAGGGGTGTTCTCTGGTTTCCCTCCCTTCTCCCAATTTTTATCATACATAACTGGTCAAGTCCAGGGATCTTGCAGGCTGCAAGTTATTGTGAGTTCCCTTTACATCTGCAGCTTTTAAGGGTTGTGTTCAGTCTTTACAAATTTGTTAAACATTTTCATTGGATTCTTCTTACCTACTTGAAGTGAGACTTCTATTGTCTTTTACTGCCACAAACGAGCCACTGCTTTTGCTCTATCCTGAATTCCCTTAGATTTCAGGCTAGTGTATTGCCTTGGAATCTTGACACCCCAATGAGTTCAAGAAAGCCTATGGCTTTATAAATTATCCAGCTTTTTCATTTTAGGATATGAAAATGTCTCTTTGTAGCTTTCTGCTTCCTGAGGTGAAGCCAGACATCTGATTACCTAAATAATTTAACGTGCATTTTAACTTGATAATGTTTAAATGTCATCATCATTTCTACCTCTTCTCAAATATTACAAGAACCTAATTATACTGACTTATGATATTTATTTTTGTTCATGAGAAACATATTGTTAGGCTTTAGAAATATTATTTATCTTTTTAACTTTTTTATGATTTCTGTTTTCTTTGCTCTTCTAATATTTTATTATGATGTGTTGTAGTTTTGACTGCAATGCTATATACATGTAAATCAATTACATGGCTTGAATCTTAGAATCTACACCTTTCATTCAATTACCATCCACTTAAGCCACTTGTGACTACCAGGTTGAAAAGATGATCGTAGGGCTTGATGCTCAAGCCTATTTTTCTATTTTATATTTTCCTCTTCATATTTGATCTTCCATTTTTTCAATATTTTATTTTTATATTATTACTTTCTCCTTTAGATCTTTCTTCTACAGCATTAATTCTACATATAGTTATGTAAAATGTGCTATGTGATCTATACATTGACCTTTAATTATAATGACTGTATTTTCTATAAACTTTGTTTTATTATTTTTTAAATTTCTCTGTACTTTTATTACTAGCACAAATATGTATTTTAATTTTTATTATATTTTAATCTTCATTGAAGTACTTCTATTGTTTACTATATTTTCTGACATTAATAATCGATTGTGTCATTGTTAAGTTTTAGTGGCACTAAATATATTGGTATCCTAGCAATGAGAAATTGGAATTAAAAATTAAAATCACAATATTATTTATATTAGCATCTCCAAAGTAAAATATTTAGGTAAAAACCCCCAAAATACATACAAAATTTATGTGAGAAAATCTACTAAATTCTAATGAGAACAAAACTGAAGAAGATCTGAATAAATTAAGGGTTAGCCTATGTTCATGAACAAGAAATCTCAATATTGTCACTATGTCAGTTCTTTCTAATTTTACCTACATATTCAATTTAATTTCAATCAAAATCACAGAATGTTGTTTGTGGATATCAACAAACTGATAATACAGTTTATAGAAAGATGCAAAAATCCCAGAATAGTAAACACAAGATTGAACTAGTCAAATAAAACCAAATAATTTACACTACCTGATTTCCAGTCTTCTTTTAAAGCTGTAGTATCCAAGATAGTGTGATATTGGATAAAGAACAGACAAATAATAGGCCAGGTGTGGTAGCTCCCACCTGCAGTCCCAGAATTTTAAGAGGCCAAGGCAGGAGGATCACCTGAGGTCAGGAGTTCAAGACCAGCCTGGTCAACATGGTGAAACCTCATCTCTACTAAAGATACAAAAATTAGCCAGGCCAAGATGATGAAACCATGCCTGTACTAAAAATACAAAAATTAGCCAAACATGGTGGCACGTGCCTGTAGTTCCAGCTACTTGGGAGGCTGAGGCAGGGGAATCGTCTGAACTCAGGAGGCAGAGGTTGCACCATTGCACTCCAGCCTTGGTGACAAAGCAAGACTCCATCTTAAAAAAAGAAAAAAAAAGAAAGAAAAAAGAAAGAAAAAAAAAAACAAATATATATACACACACACACAAATATATCATTAATGGAACAGAATAGGAAGCCAAGAAATAGAATCACAAAAATGTAGACAATTGATCTTGGACAAAAGAGCAAAAACAATACAATGGGGGAAAAATAAGATTTTCACAAAATGATGCTAGAATAAAGATATCCACATAAAAAAAAAAAAAAAAAAAGAATCTAGACACAGACCTTATTCTGCCTACAAAATGGATCATAAACCAAAATGTAAAAGGCAAAACTCTAAAATTCTGGAAGATAACACAGCAGAAACCCAGATAAAATTGGATTTGCCATTTAGTTTTTAAAACTTCGATGACAAAACCAAAGTCATGATCTATGAAAAAAAATAATAATTGATAAGGTAGACGTCATTAAAATTAAAAACTTCTGCTCTGTTAAAGATATTATTAAAAGAGAGAAGACAGCTACAGACTGGGAGAAAATATTTCAAAACACATCTGATAAAGAACTGTTATCCAAAATATATACAGAACTCTTAAAACCCAGTAAGAAGAAAACAAACAACCTGATTAAGAAATGAGCAAACAATCTGAACAGACATTTTACCAAAAAAAAAAAAAAAAATGCAGATGGCATATAAGTATACAAAAGATATTCAATATTATTTGCCATGAGGGAGTTGCAAATTAAAACAATGAGCTTCTAGTACACATCTATTTTAATGGCTAAAATCCAATACACTGAAAACAACAACAAAAGCTAAGGATGTGGAGCAACAGAATCTCTAATTCTTTGCTGGTGGGAATGCAAAATGATACAGGCACTTCAGAAACAGTTGGAAGAATTTATACAAAACCTAAATAAACTCTTACCAAATGAACCAGCAATTTTGCACCTTGGTTTTTACCCACAGGAGTTATAAACTTATGTCCACATACTAACCCTCACAAGGATGTTTAGTTTAATAGCTGCTTAGTCATCATTGCCCGAACTAGGAAGCAACTAACATACCCTTCATTAAGTAAAACGGATAGACTATGGTACATCCAGATAATTTAATATTTTTCAGTGCTAAAAATAAATGAGCTATCAAGCCATGAAAAAACATAGAGGAATCTTAAATGTATGTTACTAAGTGAAATAAGTCAACATAGAAAGACTATACACTATGTAATACCAATTATATGGCATTCTGAAAATGACAAAACTATGGAGACAATTAAAAGATCAATGTTTTCCAGGAGCTGGGAAAAAAAGAAGGATGAATGGGCAGAGAAGAGGATTTTTAGGACAATTAAACTATTCCATATAATACTATAATAGTGGTTCTGTGCCTTGAGAAATTTGTCGAGAGCTGTAGAATGTAAAATTTCAAGTATAAATTTCAATAAAAACTATGAACTTTGGGTGCTAATAAGTTATTAATGTAGGTTCATCAATTTTAATAAATGTAGGGCTCGTGCAGGTGGTTGATAGTTGTAGCAGCTGTGCATGTGTAGACATAGGAGGTATATGGGAACTCTGTACTTTCCACTCAAATTTTCTGTGAACCTAAAACTTCTCTAAAAGGTAAATTCTAATTTTTTTTAAATGAACACAGCTAAAGCTTACTCAATTGGGTCCTGGGTTATAGAAATGCCAGTACTTAGTTGTATAAATTACTTCTAATCAATATTTTAGGAATATTTCTTATCTGGGATCATTTTAACATTATCTTTCAGCTTGAGCTATTCAAGAACATACAAATATGTAATTCATAGCCACTACTGAATATCAGCTTTTACCTAAGCCCTGTATGTAGGACACAGCACAATTTATTGTAATTTTCTGGACAGTTGAACAGATGTTTTTTAGTGTCCTTTCACTGATGTGGAGATATTTTAGGGTCAAAAATTTTACTTTACTAGCTTTATACATAAATGGAGATGATAAAAAATGTCCTGCCTATGTTAGCCCAAAAGCCAAAGACTATCCCTCGTGGATATTAATAGCCCAACTTAGAGCTCTTAAAAGACTAATTGAGCCTTTTACTTAATTTCTTATTTCAATTCTGTCTTAGAGAGAATTCAAGTGTTTTTGCGCCCACTATGTATTAAAATTATTTAATACCAATATTATAAATTTCATTTTTTTAAAGCAGAGTAGGTTGGCCTTTTCAGTCAAGTAAGGTCCCGCAATGGTAATCACTTCTAATAAATCACTAATTACATGTAATTATAACTTTGATTACTACTTTTCTAAACATTATCTTTGAGAAAATATATTTGTATAATTTTTATATTTGGTATTTAAAGTATTTTAATTATTATTTTTTATTTTTTTCTAGAAAAAGTGCAGCTTTTACAATTTTCACATTGAGACTTTCATGGGAAATATAGTTGTAGATAACATTTGAAAAAGATTTTTAGTTATTAAAAAGCAATGTGTACTCTTCAGGGACGTAGTTACTACCATATTCTAAACTATTAAGATAAATAACCCTGCTTTGGGGTTTCTGGAGTAAATTCTTGCTTTACAACTTTATGCCTTATAATCATTTGGTTAGCTACACTATGCCTTAGTTTTGGGGTATTAACTTTTTATTCATTTTTATTGTTACCATAACAAATTACCATAAATTTCACAAATTAAAGCAGCACAAATATATTATTTTACAGTTCTCTGGGTCAGAAGCATGACATTGCCTAAAATCAAAATGTTGACAGGGCTGCTTTCCTTTCTAGAGGCTCTAGATATGAAATCATTTCTTCATTCATTTAAGGTTGCTGGTAGAATTCAGTTCCTGGTAACTGTAGGACCAAGTTTCCCATTTTCATATTGGTTGTAAACTCAGGGAATGTTCTCTAGTTTCTAGAGGTGTCTGCCTACCTTGGTTTATTGCCTCATTTCTCCGTCTTCAGTCCCAGCAAGCAGAGGTCAAGTCCTTATAATGTAACATCTCTTTAAAGCTTTCTCTGTCATTACATCTCCTCTGAGCATGGTTGGCATAGGTTTTCTGGTTTTAAAGAGTTGTGTCATTAGACTGTTAACTACCATGATGTCTAGGATATTTTCGTCATTTCAACTTCTGTATCCATAATCAAATCTACAAAGCCGTAAAGGTAACTAGTCTCAGATTCCAAGAAGTACAATGTGAACATCTTTGGGATATAATTATTCTGTCTACTATGCTCTTTCTGTATACTGCCGCTCCTTATTTGTAAAAATTGACTTCTTTAGAAACTCATTTTAGATGTATATTGGATCTTCCATTCTACCTCACAGTCTTTAAATCTTCATATTTCTAGGTTTGTATCTTTAGGCAGCATCCTGCACCACAGCATGAGCTCTGATTCCTGAAGACCTCGGCATAAGATCTTCACCAATTCCCATGCAAAAACTATTGTTTAACTTGATGCATTTTCAGGTCCATGTTTTTGTAAAGGAATCAACTCAAGCACTACATTATAAAAAGGAATTATCTTTGCACTTTAATATATGCTTGTATATGTGTCATTATGTATATGTATCATAATATATTTGATTAATTTTTTCTGTATATCACTTATTCATCCTAGTGAAATGTAGGTTTTGAAAGTCAGAAAAACTGCCCTTTAGATCCCATTTTTTAGAACAATGCAAGGACCATCATATGCATTCTAGAAAAACTTGATGATTCAATAAATAAATGCATTGGGCAAATGAATGAATAAATCACCATGCTCAGTGACGTTTGATTTTAGTAAGACACCATGATAGAAAACATGACTACTAAGTAATGGCTAAAGTATTCTCAGTTAGTTTGATTTTTAGCTAGTTAGTTCCAATCTTTGGATTTTTCCTTGGTACCCAGATTTCAAAAACTACAGGGTCATATGGCATGATGATTTCACTGAAAGAGATTTAACAAAGAAAATTCCATGAATTTCCACTAGCACTCACTAGCAATTTAAAATCATGTTATAGATTATCTAAATTTTGTTTGCCTTTATAAATCTCCAGTTCAGAATTGGGGAATAAACAATAGAAAGCTATCTTAAAAATTAATAGGATTATGGAAAATATCAACTTTTAAATTAGTTAGACAGAGGAAACCATTTCAGGCATATTTATACATTTGTTAAGTGCATCAATAAGATTTATCCTTTCATATGAATTACACATATAAATGATAATTATATTTTGATAGAATTTCAGAATAAAAATTCTTCCATTCAAGTGTGGCTCTGCCAACATACAGATGAATTGTCTAATCAGGCCACATAATCTCATTGAGTCAGTTCCCTCATACATATACTAAGAGGTTTCTATTAAATATCATGTATAACCTCTATTATTCTGAAATTATTTAATTTCTGTGTGAAGTGTCTTTTATTCCCTACATCATCTTTTATTCAAATGGCATCTGGGTTACTCAAATTACAAAATGTTTTCTTTGATGTATGAGGAAAAAAAGTGTGATGCTTAGAGTAATATGTCAAATTATATTTCTAGTTAATAAAAATGAAACACTATTCTCTCTCACATCCTGTTTGTTGAGATTATATATCACCATATAAATAATTATATATAATTATACCATATGTATAATTTATCTAGATAATACATATTTATATAAAGTACCTAATTCAATAATAAGGAAAATTGTCCAACCATTAATCAGAGAATAGTTACTTTTTTGGGTATGTCTTACTGCTATTTCAGTATTACACAGAGTATATTTATATTACATATTATTTCCGCCGACCAAAATTATGATTTTCTGTCCATACAATGTTTGTTTAATTTACTTTTTATGGGTTACTATGAATGATATGCTGTTTTCAAATATGGGCTTTTGTGGAATGGCTATGCACTTATAATTAGTAAACCCTCACTATTACCTTGTTCAGAGAATCATGAACTCTCTCTTGCCTTTCTGTTTTTTTTTTTCTTCTTTCTATTTTAGAAATCCTAAAAACGTGGCTGGGATCGGTGTCTCACACCTGTAATCCCAGCACTTTGGGAGGCCGAGGTGGGCAGATCACGAGGTCAGGAGATCCAGACCATCCTGGCTAACACGGTGAAATCCCATCTCTACTAAAAATACAAAAAATTATCCGGGAGAGGTGGCGGGCGCCTGTAGTCCCAGCTACTCGGGAGGCTGAGGCAGGGGAATGGCGTGAACCCAGGAGGTGGAGCTTGCAGTGAGCCGAGATCGCGCCACTGCACTCCAGCCTGGGCGACAAAGCGAGACTCCGTCTCAAAAAAAAAAAAAAAAAAAAAAAATTAGCCGTTGTGGTAATGTGCACCCTGCACCCGTAATCCCAGCTACTGGAAAGGCTGAGGCAGGGGAATCCCTTGAACCCAGGAGGCAGAGCTTGCAGTGAGTCGAGGTCACACCACTGCACTCCAGCCTGGGACAGAGCGAGACTCTGTCTCAAAAAAAAAAAAAAAAAAAAAAAAAAAGAAAAGAAAAGAAAAAAAAAAAGAAAAAGAAATCCTAAAAACATTGTGCCTTATATAATGAAATAAAACAAAAGCATAAACACTAAGTCATCTGAATTATCATTTAAAAATTTTGACTTGAAATATACCTAAACTGAGTTAATGTATGTAATTCAATCTGTGTTTCTCTTCATTAAGATGATTCTAAATTAAATCCTTTAAGAAAATATGCCATTATGAATAGAAAATATAAAACATCAACAGACTTCCTTGAATTCTATTTATATTACACAATGAAAACACGTTGCAGGCCGCACAAATAGTTCTTGTGATTAGGCACATCTGAAGCCTGTCAGTAACAATATGAACCTGTGATCAATTAAGCAGCTGACTAATCTTTACCTCGTCCTCGTTGCTCTTGTTACCTAATAAGAAGGGCTGTAGAAGCTCAAGGGGGACTGCCTTTGCTCACTAGAAGCAGGGAGCTCTCTTCCTCTTCTCCATGCTAGCCTTTCCTTTAAATAGTTTCTTTTGTCATCATTTCTGTGTTTATCCGTTTGTTCAGTCATAATGATGGTCTCAAGCAGTAACAGTAGTAACTGTTGTAGTGATGGCCTCAAGTAGTAACCATGGCAGTCAGTCACAAGTGGTGCCCGAACAGGGACAAATAGGGATAGATAGGGATAAAGACTAGCAAAGACTAGCAATATAAGAGCAATATAAGGTCAGTGTCCTAAAGAAATACAGAAGTAGAGACTAGCAAAGACTAGCAGAAACTTAAAGGAACTATCAGGGACAGAGACCTGAAGGGACCTGAAGAGGCCTGCAGGGACAATAAGAAATAAGTAGAGATAAGGAAATAGAGATAAGGAAAGAGAGATAGGTAGGGACAGACAGAGACTTGCAGGAACTTGCAGGAACTAACAGGTACCATGGGGACAGATCAAGGAAACCACACAGGAAGCTGAGAAACTGCTGGGGCGCCAGAGTTTTACCTTTTGCTGGAACTCAGAGGTACAACCGATGCTTAACGGACTAATGCTTTCTGATTGAGCTCCTCTCTACCCTAAATACAAGAGACCCCAATAGTTAGGCAGTAATATCATAGCCCCTATTCAGCATGAAAAAATTGCAGGAGACGGACCTTCATCCTTCTGCAACCCTTCATCCTTCTGCAACCCTTAGAACCCTTAGGGTTCTCTTGTAAAAGGGAAGGGGGAAATATGCAAGAAGCATTGAAACCAGAGTGACTCCATTTTGAATAAGGGCTAAGAAAAATGAAGCTGGATCACCAACTGGCCATTAAGGGCTGCACAGCCTGAAATTGCCTTGCTCAATTAATTTAAAAACAAAATGAAGGAGATATTGGAGGCCACACAAATGTTTCTTGTGATTAGGTACATCTGAAGCCTCTCAATAATGCACCTGTGATCAATTAAGCAGTTGACCAATCATTACCTCCTCCTCCTTGCTCTTATTACCCAATAAATAGGAAGGGCTGTGGAAGCTCAAGGTGGGGGTGGGGGTCCTTTGTTCACTAGAAGCAGGGAACTCTCTTCTTCTCCCCCATGCTAGTCTCCTTAAAACAGTTTCTCTTGGTTTTTGTTATCATTTCTGTGTTCCTGCCTTCCTTCAGTCACAATGAGTCTCAAGCAGTAACAGTAGTAACTGCTGTAATGATGGTCTCAAGCAGTAACAGTAGTAACTGCTGTAGTGACAATCTCAAGTAGTAACTGTGGCAGTCAGCCACAAAAGCAAACCTGTAAATATTCAGGACTTGCAAGTACATTTGAACCTTCAATAACATGGATTTGAGTTGTGTGGGCCCACTTAAACGTGGATTTTTTTCAATAAAAGATGGATGGAAAATATAGTATTTAGGGAATGTATGTCTTCTTTTGAAAAGTGTCTGTTTGTGTCCCTTGCCCCCTTTTTAAAGAGTTGTTTGATTTTTTTCTTGTGTCTTACAGATACTAGATATTAGGCCTTTTTCAAATGCATAGTTGGCAAAAATTTTCTCCCATTCTGTAAGTTTTTTATTCTGTTTATAGTTTATTTTGCTGTACAGAAGCTCTTTGATTTGATACCATTTATCAATTTTTGCTTTTGCTGAGATTGCTTTTGGCATCATGAAATTTTTGCCCATGAGGGTCATCTTTTCTTATATGTGGGTTTTACAGGGCTGACTGCAGAACTTGTGTATGCATGGATTTTGATATATTCCAGAGGTCCTGGAATCAATCGCCTGAATATACAAAGAGCCAACTGTAATATGCTTTCATCTAAGCCAGTCGTTTATCGAATATTTTATTCCAAATATATTTCATTATATTATCTATTTAATATAAAATTGTCACTAAGCAAACAAATGGCATTTTATCAGATAGTTGTGTGTTGGTTGGGTGTTCAAGCTATCTTGTTTAAGTTCAATCTCAATCACATCATAACTTTCTAACTTTAGTCTTCTCACTTAACCTCTCTGAAACTTAGGCATGGACTCTGAAATTAAACAAATATAAGATCTTATATGTATATTATATGTATGATTTAGTTTAAAGTCCCAGTTTAAGTTGCAGAGTAGAAGAAAATAAATCAGTAAAACAAAATTAAAGGTAATATGAACAGGGCCCTGGAGAGCAGTGTTGTCGCAGTCTGTTTTAAAGTCTGAAAGTCAGTCTCAGTTGGCTGTTGAGAATATCCCAGCCTGGTCAATGGAATTTATTGTGAATTATATTTGCCATATTTAAGATTATTATTTGAGGTGAGAAGTAACACTGAGCAGGCAATACATTCTTAGAGGTTTTGTGAGTTTTTTCCTCTAATTTATCTTTCTGAGAAAAGCAGACTTGATTATTTCTTTATGACTTGCATGCAACATAAGTATACAGAGATTATGTCTGGTAAGCAGACCCTTGATTGGACAAAGAATTTATCATGTTTAAACCACTACTCCCAGAGACTGTGTTTCTTATAGAAAAATATACAAAAAAGGACATATTGAAAGAACTATGTTTTAGTATATTTCTTTTCTCTTTTCTTTCTTTCTTTCTTTTCTTTTTTTTTAGACACTTCGCTCTTCTTGCCCAGACTGGAGTTTCATTGGTGTGATCTTGACTCACTGTAAACTCTGGCTCCAGGATTCAAGTGATTCTTTTGCCTCAGCCTCCTGAGAAGCTGGGATTACTGGCGTGCACCACAACATCAGGCTGATTTTGTATTTTTAGTAGAGACAGTTTCACCACATTGGTCAGGTTGGTCTCGAACTTCTGACTTCGAGTGATTCACCAGCCTCGGCCTCCCAAAGTGCTGGGATTACTGTTTTAGTATATTTTTTAAGGACATGAGAACACAGAGAGCAGTAGTCAAGTTTATCTAATAATTCAAAGTCTGAAAAAAATCAAAAATAAGTGCATACTTATCAACAAGACTTGGGTGCAAGGTTGCATCCCTAATGTTATTAAACATTGTCTTTCAAACATGACAGAGCAATTGAGCAAATGAAATATAGGTCCAGCTGATAAAGAACTGGTTTATTGGCTTGTTTGTTTTACTATTTATGACAATGAGATGTAAACCTTTGTATTGTATATAATAATCATGACAGAAATGGAACAGTTAAAAACACATTCCACGTGAAAGTAGGGTGACAGACCTAAGTGATTTGAGGTTAGGACGTGGACCTGTCATTGAGGAAACCTCCACATTTCTTGTTAGGTTCTTGAAAATGTACATTGACATCTTCAGACTTCTGAGCTTCTCAATTAAGTTATTTTCCTTTCCCCTTTCTTTTTTAATAAGAGAAAGTATGCTTTTACTTCTGACATCTCAGAGATTTCTCGAATTTTTTTGAATGTTCATCTGTGAGTGTTGAAATATTGCAATGTAGTGTTTGTTAGTAGCATTTGTTATAGGATTAGTGTATGTGTTGTCAAAGTATTCTTTGCAAAAAGTTAAGAACATAACTCACAAATATGTCATGTGTTACAGATTTCTTTATCTCTTTAATGAGGAAATCAACAAGATAACAAAAGTTGGTTCCAAAGAGAATGCTAAATATAAGATTTCTAAGTTAGATACTAAATTGCTTAATTTCCTACAGGACAGCATTTGGTGATATCTTTTGAATTTCTAAAAATCTTTTAGACTTTAAATTTTAATGCTCAGGAATAACTTTAAAGGACACAAAGTAATTTTTTGCCAAATTTTTATATTTTAAATAATTTATCTTAATTTTGTACTTCACCCTTATAGTGCCAGCTAGGATATTTGCAAGTCCTTCTGAGGTTTAAGAAGAAATAGTTTATACCTGCACTTCATACACTAAAATAACTCAGATTTTCTCAATCTTTTGGTATTTTTGGAGAGGTGTTGTCTAAGATGCTAGCACTTGGCTGGGCGCAGTGGCTCACGCCTGTAATCCCAGCATTTTGGGAGGCCAAGGTGGGTGGACCATGAAGTCAGGAGTTCAAGACCAGCCTGGGAAAGATGGTAAAACCCCATCTCTACTAAAAATACAAAACTTAGCTGGGCTTTGTGGCAGATGCCTCTAAGCCCAGGTATTCAGGAGGCTGAAGCAGAGAATTTCTTGAACCCAGGAGGTGGAGGTTGCACTGAGCTGAGATCACACCATTGCATTCCAGCCTGGGCGACACAGCGAGACTCTGTCTACTAAAAAAAAAAAAAAAAAAGACGCTAGCAGTTAGGCTCCTCTGGCTGATATTCCCTATCGGTTGATATCTCTGTTCCTTATACCAGATATTAACTTCTTTAAGTTCAATATCCTCCTTTTCAAACATCACACCAAGGAACTCAATATATGGTGTTTTTAGTTGAAAATTTTGAAGTTTCAAGTTTAACTAAAAACTTAGAAGGAACAAAACACTGGAAAACAACTTCTATTTCAGTGTTGGTAATACATGATACACTGTACTTGTCCTCTAAGAGATGTATTGTTCATTGCTGTCCCCAAAATTTGTTACTGGCCTTGACCCTCCTGTTCTAAGCATGGGGGCATATCTCACCCACAGTTTTTTAAACTTTCAATTTAAAAAGATTTTTCTCTCTTCTATGTAGGCCAAGTATTATACCAAATATTTGAAGGAAACCAATGAGTCAGAGTTCATCTATTTTCTTCCAAGGATGCTAGCCACTCAGATTGGACATGTCGTAAACCCTCAATAAGCAAAATTCAGCCACACTGAACTCTATGGAACAATTCACATTTTTTTTGGAATTTTTATGCATATGAAATAAATGCACGAAATATGTTGCTATCAACTGGCATATTTATTGTACTAGATCAAATAAAGTATTCCGGTTGGAATTTTGTTGGACTGTGAGAAACCCTTTCAGTGGCAGTTTTTCTCCCGCGTTGTTTGTTCTTGATGAAAGTTTTAAGTGAATTAAGGAAGTAAAGGATCCCAGTGGAAATGGTGTGCTATTGGACTCTGAAATCAGAATGCCTGGGTTTGAATCTGGGCTGTGAAACCTGAATGGCAATTGTGCCTCTCTTAGAGTTGCGATAATTAAGTTAGTTCACATGCTTTAAGCTCTTAGAAAATGTGTGTAGCATAAAAGTTACTATGTGTTTGTTGTTTTTATTATAATTATTAAATATAACTGTGACATGTTAAGAAGCCCCACTCT